AAACATCTAAAAAACGTGCATCAATTGATCTTGGTATCTCCCGTAGAAGCTTAGGCCGTCTTATGCAGGATCTAAATTTAAAACTATATAAACCAAGATTATTACAAGCTTTAAACGAAGATGATCCAGATCGAAGAACAGAATTTTGTGAATGGGTTTTAGATTCATTTGAAGAAGATCCAACTCTATTGGATCGAATTCTATGGACGGACGAGGCCATATTCAAAGTAAACGGTCGTGTTAATAGACACAATTGCGTTTATTGGAGTGATACAAATCCACACCTCGTTATTGAACAAGAACTCACTGTACCACAGGTGGTTGTTTGGGGAGGAATATGGTCAAATGGCGTCGTTGGACCATATTTTTTTGAAGGTAATGTTACATCACAAAAGTATTTTCAGATGTTGAAGGATAATATCATACCACAACTTGAAGAACATTCAAGTTTTCAAACAATGATCTGGCAGCAAGACGGTGCACCGCCCCATTATGGTCAAATTGTGCGAGATTATTTAGATGATACATTCTTACATTGGATAGGTCGTCGAGGAACTATTGAGTGGCCACCACGATCTCCAGATTTAACTCCATGTGATTTTTCACTATGGGGAATTTTAAAAGACCGTGTCTATGCTCAAAATCCTTGTAATACTAATCATATGAAGTCACTAATCCAACAAGAATTTATATCAATCAATGATGATATCGAATTATGTCAAAAAATTTGTCGTTCTGTAGCTGATCGTTGTCAAATGTGTATTAATATAGAAGGGAAACAATTCGAACATTTGCGCTAAAACATTGTTCATTTTTTAGAGAATATAAACAAAGTATTGATTGTAGCATGTCGATATCTTTCTCTTTTCATCTCAATAAAGAACCATGACATGTATTTCTCAATACAGAGAAGGACTAAGAGTAAATGTGTCTTTTTTCTTGATAGCCTACTTTTCTTTATCATACACTATTTTTCTCTTATTTGTAAAAAAAGTAAATTTTTCTTTGATGAGGTCCTTAGTAATACTTAACAAAGAGTTTCTCTGGGCATGTCTTTATCAATATAAAGCTTGAACATGTCTCTATCATCGATAAAAAAATCAGCTCATTTGCTTGAGCTATAAAGGAGATATTCATTTTTTTTTGAGTTAAGTGACATTTGCACCCCCCTGTATTTTATATTTTGAAAGTATATTTCATATTAGTGATCATGACATTTTAATTTTGATCACGATCACGAAAAATATTTCTAATCACACACGATCACGCGGTTCACTAGTGGATACAAAGAGACAAAGAGAAGTGTGAGTGTTGATCTCAGTGAAGACAATATTTCAACTCATACCCACACCCACACCCGT